ATGCACGCTCCCGGAAGAGGTGGGGGCTCTCGAGGTGGAGCGGTCGGGTTGGTGGAAGGTTGGAGCCGTCGGCGATCAGATAGTATGGCCGACGGATCTTGGCACTCTTTTTGGGAGACCTTCGCTTGAGCAGCTGAAGCAGTGCGTGCGTTCTTTTCCGCGACGGTCAGGATGTGGTTTCGATCAGTTCTGTCCGCGCGAACTCTTGGCTTTGTCCGATGAAGCGCTGGAAGCCTTCCTCGAGATTCTGTTAGAAGTTGAAGCCTCCTGTGCATGGCCCTCAATCTGGACCAAGGTAGTGTTTCTTTCCAAGCGTGATGGGGGCCTTGGGCCCATTGCGCTTATTCGCATTTGGGCTCGTGCGCAGGGGAGGCTTCGCAAGCCCTTAGTCACTGCTTGGCAGCAGCAGCATGATCGCCCCTTCTGGTGGTCCACGGCTGGACGCTCCTCGGATAAACTGGTTTGGTTGCAGGCCTCAGCTGCTGAGTGGGGCAGAGCACGCGGTTTCTCTAGCGCCCTTGTGCCTCTTGAACTGGCCAAAGCATTCGAGCATATCAGGCATGGCGTTTTGTTGCAGGCAGCGCTACGCACGGGCTTCCCAGTGCGGCAGCTCAAGCTGCTGGTCGAGCTCTATCGCTGCCCTCGCGTGCTTGCTCTTGGCGAGGCGACGTCCGCGCCAATTCACACTCTGCAGGCCGTGCTGCCAGGGTGTCACTTCGCCACTCTTATGTTGCAGCTGGTGTTGCTGGCGCCTCCAGATGCCGTACAAACAACGTTCCCGCGCATGCATCTCGGCAGCGTGGTGGATGATTTTGGTCTGCAACGGCTCGGCAGAGAGGATGATATTGCTTCAGAGCTCGCTTGCGCTACTCGATTGCTGCATTCGCAGTTGAGAAAGGTTGGCTTGCCCGTCGCTTTAGCAAAAAGCAGGGTTGCCGCATCCAGCGCCAGGCTCCGCGGGCTCCCCGAGGCCCGACTTCGCTCCGTCAGGCTCAAAGGGGTTCGCACTGAGAGGAACCTGGGGATCGACTTTGCTGCTGGTAATGTTCACAAGCAGTCTGTCCGTGCTAGCAGAAAAAAAGCCTGCCGTCGCCCGAGCGCGCAAGCTGCTGGCTCTTTCCCCTTTTGCTCGCAAGCGGCAGCTACGCACAGTGATCCGCAGCGCTGTCCTTTCTTCGCACACCTACGGGCGCAAGGTGCTGGGCACCGCTGGCACAGATCTTAGGCAGGCGCGCATGCTGCAGGCTCGAGTGCAGGCGAACAGTCTCGACGGCAAAAGTGTGACGCTGCTGCTTATGCTCAGCGAACGTCGGCAGATTGACCCTGCGCACGGACGGCAGTGTGCCCCTCTGTTGCAGTATGCCACCGCGGTGTGGGAGCATTGGCACCCACGGGCGATGCTGGAGCAAGGATTGCGAGATGCCGTTGAGAGGTTCACCGATCACGGCAATCCTTGGGCCAGCATCAGTGGCCCTTTTTTTCTGCGTGTGATGCTGCAGCTTTGCGGCATCGCATCAGCATGCAAGGTTTCGTGTGGTCGCATCCTCGACACGGTGAGGTATATATTGTGCAGTCAAGGCCTCGCGCTGTCCGCAAATCGCTCTATCATGCCGTGCTGCAGTGGCTCTGGGAAAAAGTGGCCTCGAGAGAAGGTATTCCTGAGCTCTCTCTTGGGTGCAATTTTCAGCCTCTGCAGCCCCTTCTAGCCTCCAACGGCCTCAGACAAGATGAGAAGGCCCACCTCAGGAGCGTTGTCGCTGGGGGACAGTGGCCTCAGCATCGTCAGTGGCTTTCGCAGTACACCGCCGACCCCCTCTGCCGCTTGTGCCAGCAGGCCCCTGGCACGCTTTTGCATCGTCATGCGAGCTGTGCGGGCCACGAAGATATCGCGGCACAGGAGGTCCCACCTGATTTCTTGGCCTCAGTTGTCGGGGCCAGCGTCGACCCTCTCCCTCTCCTTTTCGCCGAGAGGCTCCTCGTCCCCGAGGCTCCCCTTCCTCCTGCCAACCCCCTCCCCGTTCGGTGGTTCGGCGGAGGACCTACCGAGATGGCATGTCACATCTTTCTTGACGCCAGCTGGATGGACCAGCATCTGCCGCCCGCGTCTCAGGCTGTAGGCTGGGCCATTGTCAGTGTGCAGCCGCAATATCCGTATAAGGTAAATTCGGTGATGTGCGGCACCCTCCAGACCGTTTGTCAAGACATTGACTGTGCGGAGCTGTTTGCCCTTAACCTTGCTCTGCAGCAGTGTGCGCCAGGCAGTATTTTTTATACCGACTCAGGTTTCGTCCACGATGGAGTTTACCAGCGTGGCAAGGCGTACTGTTGCTCGGCGCGTGCAGCCTGGTCTGAGTTATGGGTCCAGGTCTGGCGCCGCATTGACGACTGGGGCGGCATCGAGTGCATCGACCCGCGCAAAGTCAAAGGTCACTGCTCCGAGGCGCGCATCCAGTCTGGGCGTTCCACGCGTTTTGAAAAAGAGGGCAATGCGCATGCCGATGAATGGGCTCAGTGGATGGCCTCGAGAGCCCGTATTGATCCTGAGCTCCGCAAGGCTCGTAGAGCCAAGGCCCTCGTGCTCTCTCAATGGGCGTCTTGGGTTGCGCGCATCGGGCCTCGTATGTGTGACGTTGATTGCGAGCATGTATCTCGTCGGCTGCGCAAGGCTCGTGGCCTTGGTGCTGTAGACCGCCCTGTGCCGAGCATAGTGGTGGAGCCACCGCTGCCAGTCACGCCGCGCAGCCTTTCGAGAGCAGACCTGGCCTCTGTGCGAGTGCAGCTTGCGGATGAGAGACCGCATGTCATGCACCCCTTTGCCGTCATAGGGGACGGGGGGCGGAGGCTGTGGTGTAGTGTGTGCGTGGTGTGCGGGCTGGGAGGGGTCAAGATCTCTGCGAACCTGTCGCAGGGCTGTCGAGGCCCCCCTGCATCAGGCACGTGGGGTGCTCGTGTCCTCGCGGGCCTCACACGTGCTCCTGCACGCTTCCAGGTCAATCGCGTGTGGCGGTACCTAGAGGATCCGCTGCGCACTGCTTCCTTGATCCGCGCGGGAGTGGTGCAGCCGCTCTAGAGCCGCGCTGCGCCATGCCCCGCACGGCTTTCATATCTGCCAGCCTCCGTGTGCTGGCCATGCCCTACCTTTCTGGGCACTGTTCGGGTGGCGCCACCCGCCTCTGGCTGTGGCCATGCGGTGGCGTAAGTGGCAGGTGGCGCGGACAACCTTGTTCGCGTTCAGGCTGAGTCGAGGAGGAGGGGGAGGAGGAGGGGGAGGAGGAGGAGGTGATGTCAAACATAGGGGTAGGGACATGCTTCCAAGCTGGTAAAGCGTCTCTCGAGACGACGCTCCCCCGCTCGAGCTGCGCAGGCCCACGGGGCGCCCTCCCCGGTCCCCCTGGGGGGGGGGATGCCGCGCCGCGCAGGGGAGCGCACCGCCTGCTCCTTGGGGACGAGCGCGGGTGGGACACTCCCGCCGTCGCTCGGACGCCCATTCCCGAAGGGGCCCCAGGATTTTGGGGGTATTGTTTATGTATCGTCGAAAATCTCCCTGTATGTGGGGACAGGCCCGACTCGAAGCTTGGGACAGCGGGCCGCCCGTGGGCTCCAGCGCGCAGGTCGTCAACTGCCAGGCACAGAACAAGAAGCTGGGGACCGACCTCAAGAAATGAAGGGGCCCCGGGACACACAAACAAATACACACAAACAGAAAGATTCCCCGATATTTTCACATACTTTCTGGGGTTTTGTCTTCCCCCGCACTTCCCATAGTTTCCCATATCTTCTGGGGGATCGACGATTCATTGTGTCTGTGTGTTTTTTGTCCCTCCTGAATTCCCCGTGCACTGTTTGGGCCTCGCGCGTGCTTTTTTGGGCCCGCTGGTCGAGGGTGCTCCCCTCGAAGGTGCTCGCCGAGAGAAAAAAAAAAGTGCACACGTACAAGCGATGCCAGGACCTGGGACGGGAGGGTGCACTGCGGCATCGGTGCCTCACCCTGGGCCTCCTCTGGTCCTGTTCCTCCTCCTCCTCCTCCTGCTCTCGCTCCGCGCGCATGCCCCCGTCCGCGCGCGCTGAGCCCTCCTCCTCCTCCTCGGCCCGCTCCTCCACACCCTCGTGCACATTCTCGACCCCGTCCCTCTCCTCGTCCTCATCTGAGGGGAAACGTCAGTGGGGGGTGCCGATTTGGCGAGGGGTGGGGTGGCGCATGTGAACTCTCCCACTGAGACCTTCGCTGGAGCTCCCTATGTGGCCATGAAACGTGCGAGGGGTGTGCCGAAACGGGCGTGACGCCCACATACGAACTGTACCACTGGGACCTTCGGTGGAGCTCCCTGTGGGACCACCCGGTTACGGGGGGGGGGAGCATCGAGCTGGACTCGGCGATGCATCGCAGATGGATCGGCGACGAGACCCCCCCTCCAGCGCATCCGCGCTTCCTCGTGCGGGCTGGGCTACCCCGGCCCCCATCGGCGAGGAGGGGGCGATTGGGGTCGCTGCAGCCCCCCCTGAGCTTCTGCCCCTGGTCCTTCTCCTCCTCCTCCTCCTCCTCCTGCCCTCAGCTCGTCTGTGGCGGGTGGAAGCAGTGTAGCTAACAGGAGCGCAAGGGCTGTGGGGTTCCCAGGATGGCGGTCTTGGTGCCAGCTTTTATCGACGTGCTGGGGCTCAGCCGTCTGTGCCGCATGGACGGCATATCATATTGAATCCTTCTAGAGCCAGACCTAGGCCAGAAGAACATCCTTCGGGAGCATGAGACCTCCGTCGGCCAAAACACACAGAACATCCAAGGGCACCCTCCCCAGGGTCCCCAGATAACATCCAAACAACACGCAGAACACTGGGGTACCCTCCCCGAACCGACCTCGCTCTTATACCTCGGACCGACTGTAACTGACTTCCTCTACCATCACTCCTCCGGAGCGCGCTGCCACCAAAGAGGAGGCACCCCGCCAAGCCCGCCCCCCTCGGAGGCAGCCCAACCCGTGCGCAGGAGGGCGGGCTGGGCCGACTCTTGCGCTGCTCGGGCGTGACCTCGGCGAGGCGGCCCCCCCCCCCCCTCGCGGCCCCCCGACGATGGGCCTGTTCTCCACCACCACCACCATGACTTGGAGGGGGGAAGGAGGTGGAGAATAAGGAGGAGGAAAAAGAAGAGGGGGAGGAGGACACCCTCCCCCCTCCAACTGATGGTGGTGGTGGTGGTGGTGGTGGTGGTGGACAACAAGCCCATCACCCGACCCGAGCTGCGCCGGCCCGCGAGAGCGGAGCCGGAGCCCTGCCGGCACGGGCCCAGCAGGCGCGGGCTCGCCGGCAGGGGGCGAGGGCGCCCCGTGCCCGACAGGGGAGCCACGGGCGAACCCGAGGCCTGGCGTCCCAAGGTGGTCGCCAACTTGCCGTCGCTCGGACGTCCATTTCCCGTGACTTTTTCGGTTTCGTGCGTGTTTTGTTTTTGCTCGATGGTCCAGGATGGTCCTCGATGGTTCTCGCCGGGGAAAAAATGCACACGTCCGGGCGATGCCAAGCCAAGCCAAGCCAAGGCTTCGCCGTTCGAAAGGGGAACACAGAGGTACCGATACCGCTGGGCGTGCGGTGGGAGGGGGGCAGTGGAGTGAATGGAGGGGGGGTGCGGGGAAGTGGCCCGAACGAGGAGGAGGGGGGGCAGGGGGAGGCATCAAGCACAAGCAGGGGTGTCGAGGAGTGCAGGGAGGTGGCCCCTAACAGGCCCCAGTTTTTGTTCCATCCAGCCAGAGGCAGAGTTGAACGGTTTATCGCAAGGCCTTCTTCTGGGCCAGCTGTGTCTGGGCAAGCTTTGAGGAACCTGGTGGCAGGCCTTGCTGCAACCTCCTCAATTGTAGCTTGCCATAAGCATTCAGCTTGGTCGTGCAAGGACCTGCTAATTTCCTGACGGCCTGAGTGGCTACACAGCCACAAGAAAGACATACCGTGCTCCCGAACTCCTTGTGATAAGCCAAGGTGTGGGAGCTGTGTAGGTCTTTGCCGTTCACGGTGCTCTTAGTTGGCACCATAATCATACCCCTGAAAAGGCCCTGGTGGCATGGGGTGGCCAAAAACTTGTCGGCCATCTTGTATGGCGCGCAACCTCCACAGCAGTGACAGCGGACCTGGGAACCTATCCCCCAAACAGGCTGGTGAGCAGTCAAGAGCAGCTGGATTTTGATCTCCCTCCTCTTCGGCCGCAAGGCCGATTCTCTAGGAGCACGGAAACCATCGGCCTCGATGGAGGCCATCAAACTGTGACCGAGGTGCAGGTCAGCGAGATCATTCAACAGAAAAAACAAGGGGTCGGTTCCCTGGTCGCTGACTTCTTCTACCCTACGGTGGCTTTCAACCTTGGCTAGCACCACAGATCTGGTCGGATGCTCAGCCATCAAAAGTTTGACAGCCTGCCACACGTCAAGATGAGACTTGGGGTCTATCCCCAATCGGACTTTGCTGAAATTCTTAACCACATAGCTCGAGTCCGTCACAAAGAAGGCATCCGCAACAGGGAGGACAGCTTTGAGAAACTGCAGGAAACTGAGAGCTTCCCCCCTGTTGACCGACTGCCTCCATCCAGGCACATTCCCAAACATGACTGTCTGGGCCTGGAGCTCACTAGGGTCATAAACACACCCCTCTCGTATGCCCTGGAAAACAACCCAAGACCAGGCAACTCTACGGAGGGCTGGGTCCTGGGTGTCAGGCCCCCCGCTGGCATCTCCTCCACCAAAAACGAAACCATCCACCACCGCCTCCCCCAAGTCCCCCCCGTAGGTCTGGAACTCCTCACCGTCGGGGGGAGGGGGCACGGCGGTCCAGCTGCTAGGCGTCAGCCCCCGCAGCCAGAAGCTGGGATTATTCTCGCAATCAGCTAACGCTCGTCTCCGAACGAAATCAGAGACCTTAGAGAAATCATTATTCTTCGGGCAGCTCCAAGCCCTGTGCAAATCACACTCGACCAACTCTCCACATCTTTTGCAGGAGCTGTCCTGAGTGAGCCCACAATCTTGGAGCCTCGCGCGTGGCCAACTATTGCCCATGGCCACAGCCCGCAAGATGCCCCTCCATTCAAACTTACCCTTCCTAGCAAGCGTGCGGAGCTGCCTCTTAAAGTCCGTGAGGTCTGGGACCTGCTCTAGCCCAGCCCCGTTCCACGAGTTCGCAGCAGCAGCTTCCCAGAGCTGCCGTTCTTTGCTCTGGGCCAGAGCTTCAAACAGGTCAGCTAGATCAACCTTGCCTTGCCCGAGCTTGGTTTCTGAAATCGCGAACCGCTCACCCAGGTCGCTCTCCCAGGCCCAAGGACCCCAAGGTTTCCAGCCCACGTCCAGCAGAGTGGCAATCGTGGCAGCGACAGGAGTGCCTATGCTTCGCCATCTCTTTCCTGCTGGCTTAGGCTCAAGCTCGGCAAGGACTTTCCTCCAGACCCTTCGGGTCTTGTCAGCATCAAAACTGCTGTGGGTCAAAATCTGAAACCAGGCCTCGATCGTGTCAAACATCGCGAAAAAGGCTGGGTCACGTCTGCCGTACTCCAGCGCTAGCAGAGTGGTCAGGCACCTCCCTCCTTTCGCGACACCCCCCGCGAGCCTCCCAAGAGCCCGCCTCCAACCAAGAACGACGGAGGGAGGTGTGCCATGGACCTTATCCGAGTACCTAGTTTTGGAAAAGGCCGAGGTCAAGGCCATCTTTCGGGCCCATTTCTTGCACCAACGATTGCCCCGAGCCAGCTTGCCAAGACGCTGTAACCTACGCTCGGCCCCGGCTCTCCTGCTGGCTTGCTTGGGCCTGGATGCCCTGACTCGGCCTCGGTCAATGCCTAGATCTGCAGCAACACTCTTGGCCTGCACGCGCACTCCTTGATCGGCGAAGAAATCCTTGAGTCTCGCAGCCAAGGGACCCGAGGACGAAATGATGGCCGACTTGGGAGCAATCTGGAGTTTGATCGCGCGCAGGCCGTGGACCAATTCCAGGCCCACCTTTGAGAGCTCACAAAAAACTCTCTCACTGTCACCGTACATGCATTGCACTACGTCATCTACCCAGGTGTGCAGTGTTGGTAGAGGTCTGCCCGTGGCTATCTTACTGCAGACGAAATGCAGGGCAGCTCTACCTAGGTCAACCGCTCCACTGCTGCCTGGGATCAAGGACATTCCTGGCTGCACCGCAAGTGAAAAACCTCCAGCCTCTCTCAAAAACCTGGCTGCCATGTGGACCTGGAGCTCCAGGGCCAAATAGCAAGGAGGAAAGTCAAGCTCTAGAGCGTGCTCCAGGACAAGATCCCAGCGGAGGCTGTCATAGAAACCTTTTACATCCCAGAGCAGACTCGCGCTCTGGTGGTCTGGCAGACTAGAGTGAGCAGCCTGCTCATCCCTGAACAATCTGAGCAGCGCGGCCTGCAGGGCTGAGTTTCCTGCCGGGGCCGCGTCCCACGGTCCAGCTCGCTCCTTGGTCCAACCAGCTCGGTCTGAGGTACGCAATCGCCCCCAGAAGCGGACAATCCAAGCAAGCAGGCCAATCGCGCGGTCGGAATCCTCGTCTTTGACCTGGAGCGTGACTAAAACAACTAGCGCCTGCCAAGGCCAGCAGACCCTTTGCTCCACTAGGTTATAAAAATCCGCCAGCTGCTGCAGACCCAGCGGCGGCAACCACTGGAAATCTTTCTTGGACAGCCTATCAACACCAGGAGCTTTTTCAGGCAGGGCCGAGATGACCCTACGGAGCCAGTCGGCTCCAAGCGGGGGCCTCGGGTTCTGCTTGGCCCTGGCCTGGGCCTTCTGCCAAAGAGCTCGGACCCTGGGAAAACTCAAGCTGTCTCCTGCCCACTTGCGCGACCATATGTCGGCCTTCACGGCCATCCTCTGACAAGAGTCCAGAGCCGTCACCCCCCGAGCCCTAACCTCCCCCACAAACACCGACTTATCCCTTACACGGTTATACAGACCTCGACCTCCAGCCTGGTCCTGCTGCATAACCCACTGGTGGAAATAGGTTAGGGTATTATTCAAAACAGCTCTCTGCGCTCGCACCGAATTCTGCTTGGCTCTAACTTCGAAATCTCTGATCGTCTGGTCCGAAGCTTCTCTGAGAACACGAAGGCCACGGACCCATTCAGCGCGAGTTCTAGCAGGGAGAGGCAGCGCGGCAGAAACAGGCGTTGATGCTGCCATATCCCTGAGTCTGTCAAAGAGCCTACTCGGCCTGTGCTTGGTTCGGTCGCCCAGGGAACCCACCAGATCAGAGAGCAGAAAACTAACCGTGGCCCACCAATGGGCCACAGGATCCCGAGACGACACGAAATGGGCACCCTGGGCCTCAGGTCGCTTCTGCAATTCCTTTAAAACCGCACGGCCCTTAAATCTCTGCTGGTCTTTCGGATGCACATCTAGCATAGCACAGAACAAACCCTCGAAGCGTGCAACCCATCCTGCGAAGGCTGCTCCTACATGCATGGCCGCGTCCACGTCCAGGTTGAATGCGAAAGAGTCCCTTACGTAGCTGGGCACCTTCGCGGGGTCCACTGGATGCTGGAGAGCCTCCCACAGGTGATTTTGCTGTTCCTGACCGATCGTGAGCAGGGGGTGACCATCCGCGTCCTGCGACATGATGTCTTCTGAACCTCTGCGCTGCCCAGGATTCGCAGCGGCTTCTCCCTCTAACTCCTCGTCGGCCTCAGGCTCTCCTGGTTCCTGGTGCTCTTCATCTGGCTCATCTGGTTGCTCATCACAAGCTTCGTCAAACTCGATTCCCCAGTCATCATTAGTGAGGTAGACGACAGGTGGCGGCATCTTGAATCCAATCACTTTGCGTCGTAGTGGAACTGGTGGTGCTGGAACCTCAGGCTGTGCTGTCTCTGCCTGCTTCAACTTCAGCTTCCTCGAGCGCTTGCTGGTGGGGTCCTTCTGCTTCTTGGGCACAGGCGGATAGACAAATCGTTCAGGTAACTGAAGCACCCACCTCCAAGCTTGATCGAGTTTCAACCTCAGACTGAGATGCAGACCAAAGTGTGCCTTACCTCCTTCGAAACATGCCGTGTCGTC